TTTTTTTGCAACTTATATGAAATTTCACTCCCTAGAGTACAGATTACAAGATGACTAGAGATAATTAGAAAGTATGACATTGTTAAACATCCACGACTAAGAATCAGTGTTGTAAACAAGCTGAGTTGAACTCGAGCTTTGATATTGGAACTTTTATTGAACCAATAAACAATTTTGAGCTCGACTTGTTAAAAATATATAAAAACCCATATTTATCAAACCTTAACAAGCCTTAACAATTAAATGAGCCTTGAACAAACTCAACTCGAGAATAAACGAGCAGAACCTTCAAGCAGCTCGTTTCGTTTAAAAGCTCGACTAAAAACTAATGATTTTCTCCCTTTCTACGAAATTGAAAAAATTACTCTCCACTTTCAAGGAGGAAAAAGAGATATAATTGTTCCCATTTTATTTTTCTTTAATTGAAATGATTTATGAATTTCCTTTAGCTTGTGGGAGTGCATAATAATTAAGTATATCCACACCTCATATTTTTTTAATCAAAAATACATGTTCATAATGTAAGAAATGAAAAAAGTAAAATATACAATACCCTCCTTGTATTATATAAAACTAGTACGGTACCCGTGCGATGCACGGGAGCATTTATTACCTATTTGTTTTTTAAAAGGTTTTTTTTTTTGTATTTAAATTGTCTCATGGCATTAAAAATATCATGAAAATGAAAATTTATATGTAATTAAACACTTCCTTATGTACAACATTATTGGTACACGTAAAATACTACATAGGTGTTCGAATTATCTAAAATTATATATTATTAGTTATTAGTTAACAATTTTTAAAAAAACTAAAGGATCTTATTAATTAAACTAATTATAGTAGAAAAATAAGTAGAAATTTTTAGGGATTTTCACCCATTATTTATTTTAAATGTAATTCTAAATTTCAATTAAGAAAAATTAAAAACAATCATTAATACTCCTGAAAATAAAACCGATTTTCCCACCAATAATTTTTTATCAAACAAATTGATCCGAATATTTTTTTAAACTAAACAAAAAAATCATCAATTTTTCCTTAAAATGCAATCGAATTTTCCTAATACTGCACCAATTTTTTTACCAAACAAATTGAATTGAAAATAATTTGAATAAAAATTGAAACAATTTGTTAATGTTTATGCAACTGTCTCTTTCCTAAAGAAAATGATATGAACTTAACCAAAAAAAATGATATGAACTTACTAAAATCTCGGTAAAACATGGTTAAGAAAAACATAAGAACTCCAAAAAAATAGATGCATTTAAATTTTGAAAAGTTCACAATTTTTCCTAAATAATTGTATAAGGTGACTTTAAATATCGAAGATGAACCGTTTTTGTCACCAAAAAATGTGGACACAATTTTCAATATACATCCCGTCCAAATATCAGTTTTATTTTAAAATAAAAATTGCACGTGGTTTTATCCAATTTACACACTTTTTTTTGAAAGAAAAAATTATTCAATACGATTGGAAGAATTGGTTAAGAATTATACAACTATTTGTTTCCTAAATTTGTATCCAATTTATATGGTTTTTAAGTTAATTTGTATTTGGAATTGTTTTCATAAATAATTGACACATTTTTTGTATAAGAATCTCTAACTTTGTTACCAAAAAATATAAGATTTAAATTTTGGTAAAAAAAATAAAATATGATACGAAAAAAAGGGGATTAAAATTTTGCCATAAGAATCTCCAAATTAGTTCACATGCATTTTTTCAAACTTTCCATTCAAACATTATATTTATTTGGTCAAACTTTCTATTAATGTATTTTTCCAACAACCTCTTTATATATATATATATATAGATCTGCACGTTTTCCCCTGCTATTTTAAAAATTGCGTCAAACCCCATTGTATTTAACTAATGATAGCACGATACCCCCCTCTCCGTCCAACATAACGGCGCGTGCGATACACATGCCCGCATTGCAACCGTTATTCATTTTTATCTTATGTTTTTTATTTTAAAATTAAAATTTACTATTTTGTCCATTGAAAAAAAATGAACAAAAATTCAAAAATATCCTTAGTTCATCTTCAACCTCAAATAATAATAAAAATAAAAAAATAAAAAATGAACAAAAATTTAAAACCGTATCTCCTGCTCGATGTCGCCGAGCTCAAGCTCCGGTCCTTCTACCGAGCCCTCATCGCCGAGTTCATCACCCCCCTCGTCTACTGAACCGTCGGGATGTCAGGTCCCACCCCCAAATTTCATTCAAATATCTTAATGTTTATAGAAAAAGCAAAACAACACTCAAGAGAAACTCCACCGACTAGTCCTTAGCCCTTCCGATCATTAGACCTTAGAACAGGAAGGAAAGACCCATTACAACAATTTAAGAAATATGGTCTGTACTTTCAGAGTAACGAGCTCGTAATGAATATTGAGACCTCCCTGCTAGACTGAAACAGAATCGATCACTTACAGAACAAAATCTAAAGTTCCACCCCCAAATTTCAATTGCATTTCCAGTAGGCAGTGGCGGCAAGAGAAGTGTCTTCTCTTTCTCTTTTTTGGCTCTCGGATCTGAATAGGAAGAGACCTATTGCTTGGAATCTTCTCGCCGCCGGAAAAAGAGAATTAGGAATGCAGGGATTTGTCCATGACGAGGCGAGCCGGGGATATGGGGTTTTTCACGGTGGTGATGCCGGAGACGACGCCGCATCGCCGGCCACGACCGTCCATGATGCTCGCCTCCATCTCCACCGCAGGGCCTTATCGAAGGTGCTGGAGCTCCCCTTCCGTTCTGATGCCGACGTCTCGATCGAGGAGACCCTGGGCTCCCTCAGGTTCATCACCGCCGCCGACGACCTAGGCAACGAGGTTTCTACCGTCCCCAATGAGGGCCCTGCCGCTATACAGATCGAGGGAGAATTCCTGGGCAGCGACGGATGGAGTCGCACATTCTTTGGAGAACTCCTCTTCAACCATAGCCCATACGCATAGAAGGAGAACTTAGATTTGATTTTTTTCTTCTTTTTTTTTTTTTAAATTAGGGTTTTCACCCTTTGGAGAAGGAGAGAAAAATTGACGAGAAACCGGTTCTCCAACTCAGGACATAACGGGAAGTTTGGTAAATATGTAACGGTGTTATCACACAGACACAAGTTGGAGAGCGTCAGCTGGCCAATACTTAATACAAGGAGGTTTGACGCAACAAGAAGAAAACGCGCACATTTAATATAATACAGGAGAATCTGGTGTAATAAACCCGAAATGAAAATATAGAGGCCATTTTATTAAGAAACTACTTGAAAAAATAAAACCGTAGCTGATTCTTGGTTATGGTCCATTTGGATCGTAGTAAGCTCATTATTATATCGGTCAGCACTTTCATTTGTATATTCATGTTTTATTTTACCTATCTATAGTCAATTATTATGAATGTGCCTTTTGCTACATTCTTTTTCAAATCTAAAAGTTGTACACTAATGATTTCAAATTTTTAAAATGGATGGGCGGGGTTGTTTTGTGTCATACTAATTTTAGTACAAATACTGTATTGCATTATGAATAGAANGACTATGTATAGGAAAAAACATATTTTTCTCTATTTTATAAAATAGACCCGCGGCCCTCAATATGACCCTCAATATGATAATAAATGTACAGCAGAGTGTCCAGGGTATTTTTAACTTTACAATTTTTTCTATGACGCGGTTTAATAGTTGACTAATTGAGAAGTTGCATTTTTCTTTAACAACAATGCGTATTTATTTTATGAAATATTATACTTTTTCGGGGCCTTTGCTTAGCGTGGGACTTGGGTTTTCGTCAAGTGGAGGCAGAGGTTGATAATGCAAGTGTTGTGAGTTTCTCGGAGTCTATCGGTGAGGTGCTGGGAGTGCATACGAGCTTGATTTTGGGGATCAAAGACCTCTTGAGCCGACCTTGGCAGGTTAAGGTGAAACACGTGTTCCGTGAGGCGAATTTTGCGGCCGATTATTTGGCCTCCTTCGCAGCGGAGGGGTTGGTGGGATACCGACACTTTATTGTGCCACCCGATGGGGTTCGGCCGTGGTTACATCATGATGTTATTGGCGTTTCTTACTCGCGCAATGTGTGCGACCTAAATATCTAGGCTTTGGCCTCTCTCCTTGTACCAAAAAAAAAAAAACATTTATTTATGCTATTATATTGACACATATTTTTAAATATTTAGCTGATAACTGATAAACTAGCTTATAACTTATATGTAATTTTTGAGCTTAGAGCTTATAGCTTATGACTTATAGCTGAAAAGTTAACTTATATGATAAAAGTGTTTGGTAAAATTAGCTGATAAGCTAGCTGAAATAAAAAATTCAACTAGCTTATTTGAAAAACCACATAAAATAGCTTATGCGATAAGCTCGAGCTTTTTAAAAAAATTCGTCATACCAAACGAGACTTATTTGAATACAGGGAGCTTATTTAGCTTACCAAACATAAAAGACAAAGTTAAATTTGTACAAAAAAAAAGATAAAGTTAAATCATAACATTTCAATTATTTAGAGTTGTTAACGACTCGAACATTCGCTAATAATTGTTCGTTTGAGCTCATTTGTGTTCGACAAGAGCTCGTTCGTTTGTTAATCGAGCAAAGATCGAACAAAAATAGGCTCGTATACTTATCGAACGAACACGAACTCGTTCGTGAATGTTTAATAATTAATTTTATTATAATTTTGTTTTCTTTTTTTGTACATTACATAATATTTTTAATAAAAAGTTTAAAAAATATAAATATTTTTATTTTACTTTTTTTTTATTTACAAGTTCGAATGGGATCGAACAAACATATTTCGTGTACATTTATTTATTTTTTGAGCAAACAAACATGTTCGAGCTCATTCGTTTAATTAATTGTCAAAGTTCGAGTTTGAATAATTTAGGACATAAACTTTTAAATATATTTAAATTATTATTAAATAATAAGTTGACATAGAGAGAGACCTCCGGCCCCATACCACATGAACACTACGACTGTGTTCTTCTCTAGCATTTTCCTATCCATTTTTTTCCAAAAGAAAAAAAAAAAAAATCGCCATTAGCCAACAAAAAACAGCGAAGCTAAGCTAGATAGAGAGAGACAGTGAGAGAGTAGAGAGAGAATCAAGAATTTTTTTGAAGAGTAGACAGCCCACGATCTAATTCCTCACCATAGCTGTAGAGCACCTCAATATCTACCATGCCTTCAGGCTCAAAGAAGCGAAAAGCTGCCAAGAAAAAGAAGGAAAATCAAACCGACAACAACAATAACCCAAACCCTTCTCCTGTTTCTACTGAAGCTCATGGTATCTGTACAAAAGCTCTAATCTTTTTTTATTTTTATTTTTTTCAATTTTTTGAAATATAAAGTTGATTTCTTGATTTAAGCTGGCCCATGTGCCGCTCAATTATTCTTCCATCTTTGGGGAAACTTTACAATTAGCCTTTGCATCAGTTTTGGCTTTGTGGGCATACCCCAAATTTCTGATTGTTTGATTGTATGACTGTAATTTTCAGTTGGCCATAAGGGGGCCTTTGTCGATTCCTTTATTTTAGAAATCAGTATCGATCTTTTTTGCTGGCGCTCACATGGGTTTTGGTTTTATAAGCTCTTGCTAGTTTTTTTTTCCTGTAGTTGCTTGGTTTTTTTGTTTGTGGAGTAGTAAATAATTTATTTTGGGATTTTAGTAGTTTGGGATTCTACTCTGTTTATTTTTTAGTTTTTCTCTATTGATTTTGATTTGAACTGTTTTGAGTCGATCGAAAATATGGTAGGTGATGGTGTTGATGTGAAGCCCCAAGATGATAAGGACAGTGATGCCGGTGAGGTTAGCTCACCTGCTTCGCAAGACCACCATAGCCGCCAAAATAATTATTCCAGTGGGGAAGATGAAGAAAGAGAGAATATTTCAAATCCTCCTTTGGTAGGAAAAGAAGATATCAATGATGATGTTATTGACGAGCCGCTAAAAAAAACCGAGGCTGAGGAGGGTTTTGTTCCGGTCGAAAGGGAATCCACAATCGAAAAGGAATCTGATAAAAATGACAAAAATTTCGAGCATGATGAGATTGCGAGTAAGTCTTACGATGGAGCTCCTTCTCGAAGCTCGAGCAGTCTTAGCAGCTCGGATGACGAGTCGAATGGAATCAAGAACAGCAAATCAGAAAATGCCGAAAATGCCCCTTCTGATATTGTCTCGGAGGATACATCTTTGTCGGGCGAGAAAGTGAAAATCGATGCGAGTTCTGAAGATAATAACTCCAAAGCGCCTTCTATAGACGAACCTGAAATTAATGATGGTGAGCTGGAAAAGCGGAGTCTTGTTGAAGATAAAGTTGGCATTTTAGAGAAGGAGGTAATTATTATTCCTTCTGTCGAGAATGTTGGTGCAATGTCTGATACAAGAGAGTGTGTAGCACAAGAAAGTGATGATCGTTTGAGCCTTTCGTACAATGCACCCATAGCTTCTGATGATCTTGTGAAAGATTCGGGAGTTTCTGAGGTATCATTTATGGCTATGTTTGGTGCTTATGGTTTATTTGGTTAGTTTATAAACTTCCTGTATTTAAATAATCTTCGTTTAGTGGGACGAGCTTTTTAAAAAAGCTCGACCTTATCTCATAAGCTTCTTTGGGTAGCTTTTCAAATAAGCTCGTTAAAATTTTTATTTCAGCTAGTTTACCAAACACTTTTATCATATAAGCTAGTTTTTCATATCTAAGTCATAAGCTATAAGCTTGAAAATCACTTATAAGCTATATATAGGCTAGCTTATCAGTTGATCAACTAGTTTTACTAAACATAGCTTGCTTATTTTTCAAAGTCAGTTAGTTTTTTGGTTTTTGACATAATTCTGCATCCTGAATTCGTATTTCCTTTTTTTGTGAATATCTTGTAGCCATTGTTGGCCCATGCTCCACATACAGAAGGACTTGCACAAAGAACATCGTGGAAAAGTTGTTGTGGGTTGTTTGAAGTGTTTACTGGATCTGCTCGATAATTTAAAGGTAAATAACTAAATACTCACTCCAAACAAGAAATGGATACTTGCACTTTCGCTTACTTTATGAAAACTAGACTCATGAAATGATTTCGATAATTCATTGATTTCAGTATTCTGTCATGTCTCGGTTGTATTTAGGTGACATTTTTTGGAGAAGTTGTCAGTCTTCGTGTTGGGTTTTTTATATTTAATTGCAGTGATTCTAATTCTTTATGAGCAATGCATGACTTGTAGGATCATAAACATTGCTGAATAACAGTGGAAAGTTTGTTAGTTCTTCAGAGTTTGAAAGTTTTGTTCATGATTATGCTTATTATTTTCAGTCGGATGAAAGTTTTTTTTTTATTTTTTTTCGTGGAAATTTCAGGACAATATTTACTTTTGAAAATCGAAATGATTTAATTCCTCTCATTATACATGCTGTACGAAAATATACAATACGAAAGAATTGAGAAGAAGATAAAATAGTTTTATCTTTGATATCAGAATTTTGATTATGGTATCGGATCGTAACGAAATTTAAAATCTTAAATTGATGATTTTGCAGTGGAAATGGACTTCTTGAGTGTCGACGTACCGATTCGTTGAGGACAGTTTTATATTGATTGAAGTTTGTTTTCTTCTTCTTCTCCTTTCTTTCTTTTTTTTTTTTTTTTTTTTTTTTTTTGGTTAAATATGAAATTGGGTTGGGCTTTTTCGTAAAGAATTNCCTTTAGTTTGAATTTCATGTTACTGTTGTTAAAGTGTCAACTTTATAAAGTCCTATCTTTGTCAATCCATAATGGTTTCTTACCATGAGTTTTGCTTTGACAGTAAATTCATATTATTACATTGTAAATCTGACAATTGGATTTTGTCACTCTTGAATTTGTGCGCAAATCTCAATTTACTGAAATCATAGGTTGTGCTCTTGGTACAAATTGAACAGAACATTGAAAGGTTAAAAGAAAAAAGAAAAACATGTATGTTAAACGGAAATTTGGAGAAACACATCACAAGAAGGAAAACAGAAGAAAAATAAACATCTCTCTCTCTCTCTCTCTCTCTCTCTCTCTTTCTCTCTCTGGCTCAAGTTCTCCTCCTGGATGCAGCTCCATGGATGGCGGCTATGTACAAGAGCTGAGTAGCCGAAAGTATGATCATAAATGCCTCCATTGTTCTCTGTAAATAAACACAACAAAAATTTTGTTAAGTAGCCAAATTGAGCTCAAGCTCCTGATAAAGGAGTCCGGGTTCGAGCTTTTATCTAGCTAAGCCGAACTTGAGTCTTAACGAGTCGATCTATGAAAAATTACATAAAAACCACGGCTCTGTAAATACACACAACAAAAATATAACTTAACAAAAATAAAGTTTAAGTAGCCTAACTGAGCTCAAGCTCCTGGTACTCGAGTTCGGACTCGAGCTTGTTATCTAGCTAAGCCGAACTCGAGTCTTAATGAACCGATCTGTAGAAAAATACACCAAAATCCTTACTTTCGAGCAATAATGCAGATATGCAAGCTTGGCTCATTAACTAAACCATTTCATTTAACAACTCTATTCACAACAAGAATATCAATATTCACTATTCACCCAACTCACCAAGCGGGCATTCCTGATATGCAGCTCAATCTCTTTGCAAGCAAACCTGTAAAAATTATACCAAAACAAGCACAAATACTTTTTGAGTTTTTTAAGCAATTTGGCTAGATTTTAGGGGTGATTTTGTAATTTCATTGTAGTTAGTTACCCCATGGCAAGAAGTGTAAGAGTCCAGGCAATGGTGGCTGCAGTGGCGGCAGCCGACATGCTATCGGCATCCCAATAACGGATAAGGTTAAGACCGGAAATTGCCGAGGCCACCCCAACCACACTAGCAATCATTGCAAACAAAACGAAGAATCCGGTGGCTGCATTACCCATCGGAAAATATATCGGCGAAAAATGTGCCGGTAAGTCCAATCCAGGGCCTGTTCGAAAACAGTGAGTCATATTTTCTTTTCCGGTTAATATGAAATATTAGGCAATAATGCAATTTCGGTCCTATTAAATTAAGAATGTAGCAATTTAGGTGCCACTGGAGTGACACATAGCAATTTAAGTATGTCGTGTTTTCTTTTCGGTTAATACCAAATAGTAGGCAATAATGTAATTTTGGTCTTGTTAGATTATGAAGGTAACATTTAAGTACCACTGGAGTAACATATAGCAATTTAAGGAAGTCGTGTTTTAATAGGCAAGAATGCAATTATGATCCTATTAGATTATGAAGGTAGGAATTTAGGTCCCAGTGGAATCATATATAGCAATTTAAATCCTGTAATTTTAAACTGAAATTGCAACAGAATTTTAAATTACCGGTAAATTGCTAATAAAAAATTTCATCCCAAATACGTAATTTTGGAATTTTAAGTCTTGTAATTTATAATTTTGTTGCTATTTCAGTCCTCAAATTATTGAAATTGCAGTAAAATATTAAATTACGAGAATTTAATTACTATACGTCACTCCAGTGGAACCTAAATTGCTACTTTCATAATTTCATAATCTAATGAAGCCATAGAGAGGTGTTTGCAATAGTTTATTAAGGATAGAAAAAAAAAAAAAAAATTTATACCTATAATGAAGCCATGATCAATAGCTCTGTTCAAAGCCCAGCCACCAATGCCCAAAACTATGACATACATGCAAAAGTTGAGGAACAAAAGGAGCCCTGCAACTGGTTTTAGCTGCTGATCTCCAGCCATTATTATTATATATTTATGTGAAAATCGACGAGACGAAGTTTTAACTGTCAGAAATATGAAATCTTGTTTATGTTTGAATGAAGATATAAATGTGTGTTTGCAGATTGAGAGGGAATTTATAAGGGTTAATAATTGGTCTTGGGGTTCTTTTCTTGCAAGTCTATGTTATGTTAAAAGGGTTTTTGGGAGGGTTGTAAAGATTATAAATGCTTTGTGTTCATGGCAGGGAAAGGGAAAATTCCTGATTCTTTCTTGCCTGTCAATCTCTTATGTAGGTTTATTCAATATTTTGATTTGAATATTTAAATTATTCACCTTTAGTTTCTTTAGACTTTTCTTGTATAATATTCTTTATCTAGTAAGAACAAAACCCTCATATTTAATTATTATTTTTACAAACTATATAAAAACAGTATCTATTACTATATAATACGGAGAAGAAAAATTATTTGAACAATCCGAAAATAATCATTTCGTTTTCCCGCTTCAATATAGTGTTTTTCCCGCTTCTTCAATTCGTAAAAATTTTTTTTGAATTTTTTCAGCCCATGCAATTAGGTAACCAATCAAATCGAATCTTTTAGCATTCAATTTGGTAAGGTGTTCCGATTTTAGCATTCAAATCCGATTTCACTTCCTTTTTTTATGCCAATCAATCCGATTTTTTTGGTTGTTTCAAAATTTGTTTAGATTTGTATTTTTATTTTATTAATATATTTGAAAGAGAATCAATAAATGTTTATCATAACTTTTATTTTAAAAATAAATTTGAATAAGCATACCTTTTATTTTATATGAAATTCAAAATTACATATTTTAATATATTAATAAACGTTTATTATTTATTTTTTCCTTATGTGATATAATAGAATTTCGGTATTAAATTTGTAAATTCAAACATTTAAAGGAAAAGATTCCAAACAATTTTTTTGGGTAAATTTCATTTTATCTTGGTTTTCATTATCACATTTCTAACAAACTAATTAGTATTATATTTTTTTATCTACATTATCTAACCGATTTTTTATGATACAATTAATATAATATCTTAACAAATTAATCATTTGTCTAACCGGATTTATCTCTCTAACAAACTTGCCAATTTTTTTAAAATTAAAATGGTATGATTATTCTTATGGAGATACTTATCAATATATTAAATATTTAGAAACTTTTTTTAAAAAATGAGTTATCCCTCCTTTTACTTTATTTGAAATTCTGACTTATATTTTTAAATATATTATTATTTATTTTTTTACATGTAAATATTTATTATTTATTATCTACGTGATAAATATTATTGATTTATCTCTTTAATAAATATTTATTATTTATTTTTTTCCTTACGTGATATAATGTAAATTTGGTTACTAGATTTTTAAATTCAAACATTTAGGAAAAAAACCACGAACAAATTTTTTTGTTACATTTCATTTTATTTTAACTTTCATATAATCACAATCCTAACAAACTAATTAGTATAATATTTTTTACCCATTTTTATATAATTGGAATTCTTAAAATATAATTAATATAACATTTTAACTATTTAATCATTTGTATAACTTGATTTAACTCATTATCAAACTTGCCAAATTTTTTTATGAAAGTAAAAAAAAATTGGAATATTTTTATTTGTAAAATAATAAAAAATAGCTTTACTTTAAAGTCTGGATTATTTCCATTATTTTTTGTACGTTAACAATCATATATTTTGGATTATTGATTTAAAAAAACAAATCAAAACCGTAAGGTTTAATAATATTCCTTAAATAAAAAATATTGTATAAAGAAAAGTATTTAATATTATATATTTTTCATTGATTGTATTTATTTTATTTTCATAATAGAAGAGATGTGAAAAATAGAAATAATTATATTTAAAATAAAGTCTAAAAAATATTTAAAATATGAACTCTTCCGTGCATCGCACGGGATATACACTAGTTATATTGGATATACCTAGAGTGCGCGTCTTATTCTTAAACTTCATCAAATGGCAGTAAATTCTTCTAGTTGAGGTTTTTGTTTATGCTTTTGGATATTATTACACAAAGTTTTATACAAGTCCAATCATGTATTTAGTGAAATACAAAACGAAACTATTTTGAAACAAGGAATTTCATAATACTTAATACGATGTTATACTTATTCTAGGCTACTGTTAGCCGATTTATTGAAATACAAAACGAAACTATTTTCAAACAAGGAATTTTGTAATCCTTATACGATGCTATACTTGATATTAAGGTCTTGAAAGACAACTAACAATAAACTAGACAAATGACAGATGATAATCTCCAAATGTATGAACTATGAAGCTTAAAAACACAACTTGTTTTTTTATCATTTATCAGAATGCAATCTTTACTTATCAGGCTAGGATGAAATAACATTCATTAACCAACTTTATCCAGTGTTTACTAACAGGGATCGAGATTGGGATAATTCCTATGTGTCATGTCTGAGGGAGGTGGGCACGCCTATACCCATGACTGACAGGATAATTCTATCACATCTTCTTGAGGGTGGGATATTTTTATCCAAACATAAAAATGACCTTTTTGTCCAAAGAAATCACATGTATAATGTCTATAATATCTTGAATGTCCAAATAATTACAGATTTAGTAAAACTCACTGACAAAAACTGACTCATGGGATTAAACCATGGGATTAAACCATCTTGACTAGTTCTGATTAGAAAAGGAATTTTATAATCTTACAATTTTCATGCCTAACCAAAGGAAACAAACACACACATTGCCTCCTTCTAAACAACACTTCCAAAAAAAGAGTTCTTACCAATAGTCCCCACATGAGCAAAACCCATCCCTGAAGTGATGAAACCGACTCGAGTCCCGAACGACGATTTCCCGCCCGACAATCTTCGCCATGAGTTTAACCGCCGAATGACAGTCTCCACAAGTCCTCAAATTCTTCATAACCGTTATAACACCATCGCCATTTGTACCACTAACGAGCGCAAAGCTTATCGCGAGCCTCTCGCTATGGTACATCAATAGTTCATCCTTTTGCTCGTCCTCAACATCATGCAAGGCAAATCTCTGTTCAGACACGTAACCGTGCTCTTTTAGCTTCTCCCCCAACCAATCCAACTTCTCGTATATTTTCTCGCTCAAAGGATGCGATTTATCGCACGAGACAAACGAATGCTTCACGCCTCTTATCACAACCCAACTCTTGCCGGGCTGTCTTAAAGTTCCCATCTTTTTCATGTGCCGTCTGATTCTCGCAACATCGGACCATCTATGAGTCGAGGCGTATATGTTCGATAGCAACACGTATGCCGAGTTACAGTATGGATCGATTTCAAACACGTTTTTCGCGACTCGTTCGGCGGTTTCCACGTTCGAATTATTCGACCTGCAGCCACCGAGTAACGCGAGCCATATCGACAGATTGGGTTCGACCGGCATTTTCGCGACTAAATCCTCCGCCTCGTCTAACTTCCCGTTTCGGCACAGGATATCGACCATGCACGTGTAGTGCTCGAGCTTCGTCTCGAAAGACGATGATGAAAAAAATCGAGGTATGCTTTCGAACACGCGTTTTCCCTTCTCGAGCATGCCCGAGTGGCTGCACGAGGTAAGCAAACCGGTGAACGTGATCTCGTCAGGCTCGACTCCCGTTTTTGTCATGCGGGTGAAAAAAGCGAGGGCCCACCTGCCGCGGCCGTGCTGCGCGCAACCCGCGATTATCGAATTCCACGAAACTACGTTTTTCGGCTCGGTTTCGTCGAACGAGAGAATCCCGTCTTTTATTTTCCCGCACTTTGTGTACAAGACAATAAGGGAATTCCCCACAAAGGGGTCTTTTTCGATTCCGAGCTTCGTGGCCACACAGTGAATCCCTTTCCCGAAGTCGAGCGCTTCGATCTCACGGCTCGAATTCAACGCGCTAGTGAACGAGGACTGATTAGGGACGATTTTCAATCTCATCATTTCACGAAAGACCAGTAAACCATCCTCATGCCTAGAATTCATGCCGTATCCCGTCAGGAGAGCTGTCCACACAGCTACGTTATCATGAAGCTTCTCATCAAAAGCATTCACACATTCCTCGACCCTTTTGCACTTTGCGTAAAACGTAACTAGTGAAGTAGCTACATACTCGTCCAGAACACACCCGAGTTTCAGGGCATGCCCGTGAAACTGCTGGCCGAGGGATAAATCACTTAAACCCGCGCAAGATGTCAAAACGGAGGAATAAGTACTCGAAGTGGGCTTCAGCCCGGCCCTAACCATATTCAAGAAAATTAGTAAAGCCTCGTGGCTCATCCCAAGCTGATCGAGCCCGTTTATCATTGTCGTCCAAGAAATCACGTTCTTACAGGGAATCAAGTGGAACAATCTCACTGCTTCGTTTGGTCTCCCGTTTGTGAAGAGCCCGTTGACCATTGCATTCCAGGCGGCCGTATCCTTTGCAGGCATCTTCAAGAATAAATCTTTAGCTTCCTCGATCATCCCGCGCCTTAAAAAGGCGTCAACGATTGTGGTAAAAGAAACTACGTTTCTTTCAGGCATTTCGTCGAACAGCTTCAGGCCCATGTCCAGATTCCCGCAGTTCAGACAGCTCTTGATCATAACGTTCCAAACGACGGTGTCTTTTGCGGGCATTTCGTCGAACACTTTCAGGGCTTCATCCAATCTGAAGTTCTGTGCGTGTGAGGATATGAGTTTTGTGGACGAATACACGTCGGGAGGTGGATTTTTGTCGGGAATTTCTCGATTTTCGTTGAATTTCAGGTTCTTGAAAACGTTGGCAGCTCTGGTTGAGCACGATTTCGAAGGGTTGAATATGGCGCGAAACGTTTGCATTTCTAGTCATACTGGAAAAACTGGTAAAAGGGGAAAAGCGTACTAATGGAAAAGGGAACTATAAATATTACATATTATTTGGCTGAATCATATTATTTTTGGGGTTGGAAAAATGTAAACACATGTAGTGTGTAAATTGACATTACCTCAAGAAACTAATTTTGATAAAAATAATTATTAATTAGTTACTATGTCCTTTTGAGGTGCAAACAATTTAGAAACTAAAGAAAAACACAAATATTTTTGGGAAAGGAAAAAGAAAATGATATATTGAAAAGCACATGAATGAATGTGAGGCAATCTAACCTCTGGATGGCTCGAATCATTTACCTTTATAATATATATTTATATTATGAAGTATCATATTTTTGTGTATATTGTTTATTTATAGTGTGACATTTCAATTGAAAGTATGCATATTTATTGAGAGAAAGTAAAATAATCTAGTCAATAGATCGGTCTAACAGTACCAAAGTATAAGTATAGTCGTATAAGGATTACAAAATTCCATGTTTAATAGTAGCCAATTACTATTTGGTTTTTATCTCATATACATTTACAATTCCAACTTTACTCAGTTTTTCCTAAAACAAAAATTCCTTCTTTAACAGTAGCTAATAACACGATACTATTTAGAAATTTATTGATAAATAGTTTTATTATCTTTTAATATATATTAATAGATACAATAATGCTAAGGAGCCAACCGCTGGCTCCGTTATGAAGCCAACAGCCAATGAGACAGCTCCATGTTGACTATAATAAATAGTTGATTTTTTTCGAATTTGACTGCAGATTTTTTTTAGGATATATTGCATCTTTATCTCAAGTTCCATATAATCTCTTATGAACATTATTCCATTCGTATGTCTCGTCGCCTATCACAACCGCCGCTACCAAGACGATTAAGAAATCGCAAACCCTTTCCCTCCAGGAATTCGTCAAACCGGAAGCGATCCAGTAAATAAATAACATTATTATACAATAAATATTTATCATTATGCATATAAAAAAAATTACTTTTATAAGTGTTATAAATATTAAAATTCAGATATTTAAGGAAATGATTAACTGCAGATTTTATTGGGTATATTACATCTTTATCTTATGTTCCATATAATCTCTTCATTGTAGCTGTACATTATTCAATTCGTATTTCCCGTCGCCCAGCACAACCACCGCTACCAAGACGAAGAAGAAACCGCACGCCCTTCCCCTCCAGGAATTCGTCAAACCGGAAGCGACCCAGTAAATAAATAATATTATTATATAATAAATGTTTATCATTATGCATATAAAAAAAGAATATTACTTTTGTAAATGTTATAAATATTAATAATGATATATATGACAATGAATATTAAAATAAAAAATATTTGAGTATTATGATGAACAAAAATAAGAATTTTTTTGTATCAATATTACATAAATTTGTTGAATATAATTTATATTAATATAAATGGGTCATCAGACTAATATATTCTTAAAATTAAATTTAGAAAAAAAGGTTTAAAGGTACAAAATCATCCGTGCATTGCACAAGATTCTTACTAGTTTATCAGTTGAGATGATTTTTTTTTTTTGAAAAAAATATATTTAACCACAAAAAAGAAAAAAAAAAAGAGGGAAAATTAACAATAAAGAAACCCAATCGAGAAACCTAAAATCGTGTGTGGAATCAGCTTCGGCCCAATCGAGAAACATAATCTACTTTTAACCTTCCAAACAGTTTTGGGTATACATAATTGCCCCCGTTTCGGATTTAAGGTTTCACTCTCGTCTCTAACAATCATCCGTTTGGTGACGAGTTGCTCATCCTACTGCAGGTAGAGTTCTGTGTTATCTTATTTTGCTATCGGGTTAATTGTTGCAGTTTTTTCTCTATTTTTATGAAAATTTCACACACATTTTTTTTTTTTTTGG